ATATTTGATTTTTTTGAGAAAAATATGTATATATATATATATATATATATATATATATATATATATATATATATAGTTTTAACATACCTATTTATAACAACATATTCAATGTATAGCACCTCCATGTGTTATTCATTACAGCTCTGCCTTACCTTCGAAGTGTCTGCTGCTGATCAGTGCTCGAATGAACTTACTGAGTAAATTACATCATCCCTGCAATGTTCTCTCACCAAAAAAAAGAAAAGAAAAAGAAAAAAAAAGGAAAACAAATCATTTCGCCACCATCCACTTAGAACATTCACCCAAAAGTAAAGGAAAACAAACCATCCGGCACTAACACGCAATTAAAGCCGCTGACCCTCTTACCTTGTTATTGATGCACAAGGCAAGGTGCTTCCTCTCGCGAGCCAGACTCCCGCTGCGCAGCCTCACCTCCTCCCCTTGATGCATGTTTCTGGAAGGACATCAGTCAAGTTAAAAGACTAAAACTCTCCAATCAACACGTCCGGCTTGGAGCTCTGTGTACACGAGCAGCGCGTGCTCCGCGCCCAGCTGTGCCTAACGTTACACGGGCTTCTTTCTCCCTATCGGCGCATACCGAAGCAGCCTGTGCACGGAGCTCGTCGTACCCGGGAAAACAGTCGCCCTAAAAAGCAGATGTGTAATTACAGAGACGACGCTGGACGCGACACCGACCTGTTCGCGCCGCTCCTCAGCATGACGACCTGTTCCCTCGCAGTTAGACAGAGATGAAGTGAGCACTTTGGGTCGGGAGCAGCCGGTGAGAGACCAGACTTGGACGATTCTCGCAGCCAATCGGATGCTGAGCGTGTGCGCAGGGCTGCCAGCGCGTGTGTTGACGACATCTCTTAACTTTGCTTTTTTTTTTTTTTTCCACGCAGCCTTAATTATTCTCCAAGCTGTCTCTTGGGGAAAACAAATGGCCACTACGCTATATTCTAATCTAAGACTATCTTAAAGAAAAGTACTTTAAGTCCAAGTTATTTGCACGTAAACGGCGTTATTTACGTTGTAGATGTGAGGAAGTAGAGTCCTACACCTGCAATTAAACCTCTCTCTCTTTCTTTCTTTCTCTCTCTCTCACACACACTCTCTCACACACACACAGGCATTAATTACACAAAGGTTTAAACAGAACTTTGACTTGTAAAAGTATTCATTGAAACTTTTCATATTTTGTCAGGTTACAACAAACGTCAATGCATTTAATCAATCGGGATTTATATGATAAAACAACATAAAAGTAAATAATACGTAGATTGAAAGTAACTTTTTTTTCACATTTCAATAATAAAATACTGTAGATTATCCTAAATATACTGTGGTAAAAAGATCATACTGTGGAAATGCTTTCATTCTATATATATATATACACACACACACAAGCACATTTTATAATTGGTATTTTGACAGGTGAAATGATACATGCTTTTCAACAGTTTGACAAATACAAATAGGTCAAGCATAGCATTTAGGCAGCCTCTAATCAATACTTAGGAAAGTTGCATCGAGATACTGGAACTGCACTAAAAAAAAAAATTAAAAAAAAATGCTTCAGCTCAGATTAAATGGGGAGAATCAGTGTACTCTCTGGAAGAGGTGACATCTAAAATTAACCATCCATGAACAAGTCCATTAAATGGCCAATGTGTCAGTTTTTGACTTTAAAAGCAAACAGTTTAGTGCACATGTTTACTCTGTCAAATGTAAGTCGTTCAACAAAACTGCGTACTTTATTCTTTTCTTTTCAAATGTCCCCTTTGCAAAGTTATGAGCAAAACCAGAGATTTAAAAAAAAAACAAAAAAAAAACCTCAATTGTACATTTTTAGGCTAACTTAAAGTGTAGGAGAAAAAAATCCACTGAACATCAATTGATTAGGAATATTTTTATTATTTCAAATATTTTTAAAATAAACATTAAAAGAATTTCACAATGATGCAACCAATTCTTAGTCTCCCTTATCCCAGTGACATGTGGTAGCTTAGGAAACAAGAAAATCAAACTAAATATTGATTGCTCGACTAAAACAAAGAAATTCCGTGGTCGGTGGTAAACAGAGTGAAATGGCGCCCTCTGCTGTTTGCAAAGGACATATATCTAGAAAAGGTTAAAAAAAAAAGGTGATCCCTGAGGTTAATACTTGGAAGAAAAAAACATCTTTGGTTCGACTTTGCAAAAGGGCATCTCAAGTGTGCAACAAATACAGTCTACATGCAAACATGCAGTAGAAATTACTTAAAAAAAAAAAATAAAAATAAAAAGTCATCCCCTTAAAGATTCACCTGTAAATGTCAACAGTCAGCAACATGAAAACATCAAAAGGTAAAAGTGCAAAAAACAGTTCTGTATAAAACGTGACACTTTTGAAGCGTCGTCCTATTTCAGTGCAAACTCGGTCTCGAGCCTCAGAGTTGGCTCACAGCGCTGCAGACGCAGACAGATGAATGACGGGCGTCATTTCAGAACGCTCCTGTGGGCAAGCGATGACAGATGGGTAGAGCAGTGATCTGGGAGCTGAGAGGATAAAAGAAATCAAGCAGAAGACAGACCACAGGCCAAGCAGCACCACTGTTGTAGTAAACCCGCCTCCCTCTTTAAGAAGACGCAGGGAACAAGAGATTGTACAGCGAATCTTAAAACATTTTCCTTTTTCTCCGTTTGACTAATTGTGACCGTACCTGTGCTCCCAGCCTGGAAAGGTACCTGTTACGCAAGCCAAAAGCAGACATGGGTGCCAGTCTAGCAGGTCCACCCTGCGTCACCATACTGGGCTGCCTTTTACTCCTGTAGGGACAACGACGCGGCCACAACGGCGAGAGCGTTAATGCGAGCAGAGGAAGTAGAAGGAGCAGAATACAGCAGAGAGAGATGCTGCTGCAGCAACAACAAAAGCAGAAAGGAATTCAACCGTTTAACAAATAATTTATGTTTATTAAAAGTGTCATAGCACTTGGTTGCAAGTGTTTGCTTCTTCAAACATTGTATAATTGGTATTTTACAGATAATTTCAGCAAATCAACAGTTAAATGTAACAAGTGTTAACTCATAAAAAAACAGCCTCTATGACTCACTAGTGTGGAGGGTTTTTTTTCTTTTCTTTTTTTAAAAGTTACCTTTATAGCCTGGCTTTTACTTCTGGAAGCTTTGTTTTTTCTTAAATAGTGGTTGTGGTCTTCAAACTCAATTCAGTTTTCAAACTTAGTTTTTAGATTGGAAATTTAATTCATAATGAAAATTCCACTTTAATGGTCAAGAATGTTTTTTGCTTCAACAAATCTTGCACAATTCATTTCTCACCCATATTTACACAGATCGGCGTTTCCACATTTTTTTAATCTTAATTTGATCATTTCAAGTGTGCCTTTTTCTCTTCCAACTATCAAAGTGCTTTGTTACACTAGTTTTTCTTTGCATTTAAATAAAATATACATGGCTTTATGACCACAATCAATATGCAAGAAATAGATTTTTCTCCACTTTCAAATATATAGCAGATATTTTTGCTTCAACGTAAAAATATGAGAAATATGGTGAGAATCACCCACTGGGCCGTGACCATGTCTGCAACTCCGACAAGCAAATGGAGACTGTAATCTCCACCTTCATGGCCACAATGCAATTTGTTAAAGCCAAGTGCACAAACAGTCTGAAGCAAGCAGGAATTTCGGAAAGTGCTTCGATCAACTTAATCACCCGAGTTTAAACGACAAAAATCTGTGAAACATTTAAGTCTTTTTTTAAATATTAAAAAAAAGACTTGCGTTAAAAAAAAATGCAACTACAGACACCAAGGCTGAGCATCATTACACAGTTAAATGGGTTCGTAAGCGGGCCCGATTTTTTCTTTTTTTATATCTGCACATTAATAGATGATGCGACAGAAAATTAACTCTTATGAACTTCATAGCTCATTGAAAAGCGGTTAAAGAGTTTAGGGGATAAAATAACAGAGCAATAAAGCTTAAACAGTGATGAGCCATGCTCTGCTGGAGATTATCCACCAAAAGGTCAATGATGCATCCGACTAAAGATTGCAGCGAGAAAATAAGTGCGCCGACTCCATTATGAGAGTTTAGCTTGGCAGTGATAACGCCGACGTGTGACAAGTTAAACAAGTTCTTCTGGAAACACAATACCCACAAAGTTGAACTGAAATGTGAACCTTATTTTCTGAGTTAAAACCAAAAAATAATAAATCAAGGATTTTTTTTTTTTTAAAAAAAGGAATAAGAGCACCATTCCCCTTGACGGTCTGTAAACACTGTAGGTTTCTAGGAGTTAATAACCTTCATGCTGTACACACACACACACATGAGTTAGTTGTTATTAAGAGCAGGAGGAACTGTGGTCAGGTGAGAAGAAGTAGTTTTCATGTCCAAACTGAGATTTGCCATTCATGAGCGTCCTTATATCAACACGGGGTTTAAGCAACAGCCAGTCAGTTCAGGTGCGAAGAGCCACAGATGACGTCACTGGGCGGAGCCAGAACCGCGGTCCCGCCCCATTGGCCGCAGACTGAAAGCTCTGGGGTGGACAGTGCAACTGGCTGGTTCTGAAGCCCAGGACCATGTGTGTTCGCTCCACGTCATCTGGAAAATATCAGCCACAACATGAATCAGATCATATTAGTCAGCCCGAAAGAGTCTCATGTCCAAAGTACAACACAGTTCGGGTTAGACATATTAGATCTTTGGAGAGACGGATGCAATGCTGTTGGCAATTGTGAAACGTTTCATGCAATGAATGGGAAGTGTAGAAGTGGCATGCAAAATGTGTAAACCTTAAAGCTAGCAGGTTAGCCAAAAGAGAAACAGACAAAAACATAAAATAAAAATAATATTTCCTGGATGGTGTTTGAGGGTGGTAAATGGGTTTGCTCCAATCTAATCCTAAGTTTTCGATCTGTTTTCCAACTGTTGCATGTTTGATTGGCATATGAGCTCCAAGGTAAATAACTTCAAAAACCTGTTGATGTACAGTCTGGTTTCAGATCAGCTGCACCTGCAGCGAGCCAGAGGGCTCACTGCAGAAAATAAAAAAATAAATAAAAGAATGTGCACAGGTTACAAAACTGCATCTTTATGACGGGTTGATCCAATAAATCTTTGGAGCTCTTCGCTGGATAATGCCTAATCCTACAAAACAGTCTTTTACTTCAATAAATGTATCAATTTAAGGTTTGAAAACTCCCTGGCTTTATAGTCACTGATGCACAATATATCAGCACCAACGTCGGAATTGGCGATTATGCTAAAAACCAGTAACTTGGTAGCAGAGCTACTGTAACAGGTCGCCTCAAACTTTGCATCTACAAAGAGAAGACTCAAAACAAACAGCCTTGTCACAGGTCATGTTCAATGGAAAGCTCGTGTAAGAACAGTTTCCTTAAGTTGTGTCAACGTGTTTACCTGGAAAAATGATTTCAAATATTTTGCATGAAATGCTAGCGTTCGCATTGCACTTCAACTCACTTCTCTGGATAAATTGTAAGCAAGAGTCACATGTGAATTTATTTAGCGCTGAAGCTAACACTCTCCAAGGTGCATTCCTGCAAAATTCAAAATATTACTCCCCGTCAAAAAAACAAAGTGGTGAGAGAACTACGTTGAACATAACCAGAGTATTAATAAAAATAAAGAATTTATATAAATGTATTCTTTTACGACACTTTAAAAACTACTGAGTATTTAAGCACATAAATTGCCACAACTCCGGACTGGGATTAAAAACAGCCATTTGTATCAATAAATGCTGCTTTACATGCTAAAGATCGACGTTGGGACAAAAACTCCTGCTCAGGACACATCTAGTGTCGCACGTCTGTTTTTAATACACCACATGTTTTAACACATCACATAACGTTAGACATCTTTTCTATTAGGTCATCAACTCCTGATAAAGAAGGTTTTAGAAACAAAGCGTTTAAGCAGTTGGCGTCTCCAAACACATCGTTAAGGTTAAAGTCGTAAGAGACTCAAACTTTAAAAAGCACAGGGTGCACAGAGACAGTTTGCCAACATTTGATTTCCCACATCCTGAACCTTAAGCAAATGACTGCAGGAGGCCAATTAAACCCAGCAAATAGGAAAATTATTCAGAATGTATTCATTTTGGAAATTTAACCGACCTTATGGCTGCTAGTTAAGTTTGTGTCTGTTTTTTTGGACCCAAAAAAAAAAAAACAAAGAAAAAAAAAACTACAAGTCCATAAACATTTACATTTATAATAAGCATGCTTGCCTTTATAAACAGAAGGGCTATTAGCAAGTGTGCTGTAAAGGCTACCTAAAAGCTCAATAAAGTCTAATGAGGCAACCTGTTCAATGCAACATTTCTAAAGAGGTGTTGAAGTGCGCTACTGAGACTTGTAAACCGTTAGTGTTCGCTCATTAAACCTTAAGCCGTTGTGACTGTGCAGCCCTGAATGGGACACGTGCATTTGGGGGTTTGTACATGAATCTGCAGCTCAGATACAATAATATATATATAAAACTCAGAGGCTACAACTAACCTGTGAAGGCTGGAGCGACTAATCGCAATGAGGCGGTTACTAAATTATTTGAGGATTATTTCAATAATGGATGAATCGTTAGCTGGAGTGTACGGCTAAAGTAAATGGCCAATTACTGCAAGAACATACTCAGAGTAGTAATTAAGCCTCAAGTGCACAAGCGTATATACGTTTTGCATTTGAGATAAAATGACGGATTGAGGATACTCACTCTGCATGTTCAGCTGTCTCCTTCTGGAGTTTGGCCCTTTCTGCAGCTGACCGGTTCAGACCTTCACCTGCGGGAAGAGAGTTCATAGAGAAAAGCAGTGAGTCTGGCGATGAGCGGTGGAGTACGCTGAAAAAACGAGGGGGAAAAAAAAAAATGACGGGGGACAGTGAAGAGATGTCATGAGAATGAAAATGCGATGAGGAGACGCACAAGAGAAAACGAGTTGAAAGAAATACAGAGGTGGAGGAAAAAACTCCAGGCTCCAACTACCTTTAAGATAATCCACAAAGTACAACCCCACCACTGCCATCAGCGCGACTGCAAGACAAGGTGGGGAGAAATCAGTGCAGGGAACAAACAAAAATGTCACTCAGAGGCAGGCTAAAGCTTAAAAAAAAAATAAAATAAAAAATTGAGGACAGACTGACTGCAAATGCAGGCGCAGAAGAACACTTCCAACACCAGGTATCCTCTTATATCCACAATGACTCCGACTGCGATCGCGATGACGGCAAGCCCCAGGTTCTGGATGGACTGCATGCTGGTGGGCAAACCAAGGAGGATACGCAACGTCAGTATTCAGTCGATATATTAATCCAAACAACAGAATATTAAACTTATTTTAAAAAAAACAAAAGGTACGTACAAGCCATAGGCCGTTCCCAGTTGATGCTCAGGCACCACGAAGGCCACCATGGGCCACAGCGCACAGGCCAGCAGGGAGTACGAGACGCCCAGCAGGGACTGGAACACAAGAAATGATTTCTATTAGATCTATTTAAAAAAAAAAAAAAGAACGGTAAATTGAAGTTATGCAGTCTCAGTTATTTGCACTCAGGATTTAGCAGTAGTCAACAGAAGCTAAAGCGTTCAGAGTTGGAAAGCGGCTTAATTTTATCACTCTGAGCACAGTGGGATAATGATGCATATTAGCGGGGTTCATCAGGCATTTAATTGTGGCGTGTTAAGTGTTCAAACGAAAAACAATTAAGTTCTGAATCTAGAGCTTTAATTAAAGCTTTGTTTTTGTTCGCACACTCAACTGCTCCGTCGTAAGGCAGGAGACTTCCTGCAGAGGAAGCTTTCACAGGTGCATCTAAATGAATCGTCTGAAGGTTCAGGTAATAAATGGGTGAGGGGAGACGACGTTTAATGCGATGCAAAATGGACCGAGAATTTTTCTTTTGTTATGTGCAGTTTGTTCAGCAACACAAAACGGCTTCTGTATTGTAGAGACACGCTTTAGTCTGAATTTAAAAAAAAAAAAATTAAAAGCGACCGTGTGTCGTTACCATAGCGATCCACGGGTTCCAGAAGGTGAAGGCCAGCATCATGTGAGCACAGAGAGTTGCGATGACGGCCGCAAAGACCCAGCCGATATTTCTCCCAGTCTTATCGACGATAAAGCCGAGAATTGGAGACGCGGGAGCTGAGATGATGTACACGATGCTGGAAAATCAAAAAATAAAAATTGTTCAGTTACTTTCAGGAATGAAGAAAAAAGAAAAGGAGTTGCAATTGGATGGAAAAAGCAGAATGGTAGTTGGATATTTTTGTGCAGACTTTACTCCTTTAACCGTGTTAATGTGTCCACTTCACGAGTTAACTCGTGATTCAGAAAGTTAGAAAACCATTTAGCTGGTCTGTAAATAAAGCTAGTTTCTTTATTTCGCTTTACTGTCTGTGTTGGTGAGGTTCTTACTGCATATACTGATGAATATTTACCAGATTTGATTGTTGCCTTCATTGCAATTCAAACAAACAAAGAATTGTCATCACCGATCAAGTCAAATTGAAGATTACCTTTGGTTATAAGGTGGCTAAAATTCATGTAGCTTGTGTTCATGAATAATATTCAGACATTAGGCCTCTACAATAATAATAAAAAAAACTACTCTACTAAAACAAAATAAAAATAAAAAAATACACATTTCTCTATAAAGGAAAAGATTAAAAAAAACAAACTTAATTACCTGTTGACGGCTCTGGCTTGTGCTGGGGAGAAGTTGAATTTTTCAATAAAGAATACCCTGAAAGGCAAAGGGTAAGGCGATGAGACGCAGCACAAACCTCCATGTAAAGTTCTTATGCTTATATGAGCACAGAGGGAGATGAAAGTGATTTTATTCCCATGGCAGTAAATCCTCTAAAACGTTAAATATTCTCCCCTCATCTGCGTTTCAACCATTTGTTTCATAAGCGCAGAAAAGCCGTGGCAGTCGTCGGCTCGTCTTTGTGCCTTTCATTGAGGGCAAACCAACTCCACTACAAAACCAGCCGTCAAACCTATTACCATTTTTAGGCCCCATTGCCTTTCCTTGGTGTGATTGAACTTGTTTTTCCATTCGGCGCAAAAAAAAAAAAAAAAAAAAAAGACGGTTTTGTCAAAACTACGAGCATCTTTGAGATGCACACGCTGCGTTCAGGCATCCCGGCAATAAAGCACCTGCTGTGGCAGGATTTGATTCCTGGGGCAAATGCAACTGTATAGAAAAGTGACAGTCAGTATAAAGGGGAAGAAGAAAAGGATGGCAGCAGGAGAGGGGAGGGTGGTTGCTATGACGACATTTTTTGCATGGCACCAAAAATAAGAAAAAAATAAAATAAATTTTGGGTGCTGCATCTAAGGTTCACTTTAGTTTTTTTTGGAAGATAACTTTCTGGAAGCGAGTAGCTTACATATCAAAAAGCCAAAAATAATTTGCATCGTAAATATATTATTCATAATCTTATGCAACTACACATCGCATCATTAAAAAATAAAAATTCTTTTGCAATTGGGATATTGTGGTGTCAGTTGCAATTTAGTATACAGTCCTGGAAAAAAAAAATATAAGAGACCACTTAAAATTATGCATTTCCTTTCATAGGTACTACTGACAACAAGTCGCTGAAATTCTGAGCAAAAAATTTTGTATTTGCAGAAAATGAGAAATGGTCAAAATCACAAAAACGACAACGCTTTCAGACCTAAAATAATGCAAAGAAAACTAGTTCATATTCATTTAGAAACAAGAATACTAATGTTTTAACTCAGGAAGAGTTCAGAAATCAACATTTGGTGGAAAAAACAGGTTTTCAGTGGAGTTCAGTGCAGTGGGATTTTATCTGAGGGCTCCAACTGTAACACTAGCAAGCTACAGTATATATCATTTTAAAGAAGTGGTTGGGTATCTGGTTGAAATAACAAAAACATACATATAGTTTAGACATCTCTGTGTCATGGTTTACTATGTAACTCTCATACTATCCCATAGCTTTTAAACGACCGTGCTTTATGGTTTTAAACAATGAGGAACTGGGAGAGTTCTTTAGAAAAAACAAAACAACTGTGCTTCAGTGGTCAGAGAGTTCACAAGTGTGTGGATTTACTTCTTCATTACAGAAGTAACACTTTATATTGTTACCGATAACCATTTTTTTAAAATGTTGGCCCAAAGTGAAACTAGAACTCAGCCTAACAATAAAGTGGGACATCAATAAAAAGGTGCAATGTTTTGTGATGAGGAGAAAACTGACTAGGGTGATGATTAAATGGATTTTTTTTAAAAAGCTTTAAAAAAAAACAAAAACAAAAGTGGATCACATCATTTGAATGATATCTTCCATATGTTATACCGCATGGTTGAGGACAGATAAGGAGCACTATTCAGACATGTTTTTTTTTTTGTTTTTTTTTTTACTATAAATGATGCCAACTTGACAGATAAGATTTGTGCATCTTAGTGAGGGGAAAAGGTAAAATACTTACTGGCCCTGTCCAATAAAGGGGAAAATGGCGACATAGTAAAACACGCAAATGATGAAGATGAGCCACAGGGACAGGGAGAAATCCTTCACATCAGTCAGCTTTATAACTTCGCCTAAAACAGAAGATAAATATGTGCATCAGTTTCAGTTGCTTACCTCAAAGTCCTGGAATTATCTGGGTATCACAAGGAATTTATAAATAAAAATCAATCTCAGCACATAAGACAAAGAATTATCAGTTCAGCTAAAAAAAAAAGGACAACCTTGCATTTTTTGTAATCTGGATCGATTTGTATTGACAGATGAGTGTTAAGCAAGAACAAAGATAAAAACAAAGGCATTATCTTCACATTACCCGTTCTCCCCTGTTCCTTGTGAAGGATCCTCTCTGCTCTCTTATCCAGAAATCCCAGCACCAAGGCACAGATTAGAGAAAACACACAGGTTCCAGCCGCTAACAGGAAGAAAATAAACAAAGTGTCTCAAGACTTCAAGAACAGAACACGATATAATTATTTTAACATTTCCTGACAACTGAGTAACGGTCAGATGATCGAGTTAAAGTTTAACCAACAGTACTTCAAAGATGAGCAAAAGTAGAAGCGCTTTTACACGGCCGAGAAAAAGCTTTTCACACCCCACATGACTCATCCGAGGTGCCGAGTCGCACTTTCAGTTCCCTTTTCTGCTCGGCTGCGTTACCCGAGACGAGCGGAGGGCTCGGCAAGTCGGACGCATACGGCGACGAAAACATGTAACCAGAAGCTCGGGTTAAACTCCATCTCCTACCCAAGCGAAGCCAGCGGTTTTACACACAACTGTGTATTACTTACCTATCATGAGTGATATCCCGAGGGTCGTGTGTCCAGAGGAACCGACAGCGACCGCAACTTTACTGTAGACCCAGCCCATGATGTTCATGTTCACTGTGCTGCCCTACGGGAAAGGAGAGCAGACGGCGTCTCTTTACACCTACCAGCACCTTGCTAAAGTATTCACACACCTTGATGTAAAGGACAGTCAAATCACAAGCCTAGGTACATTTCATCTGGCATCTATAATAACCGAACACAAATTGGTACACGTCTGTGAAGTGGAGGAAAAATCTGACATCGTTTCAAATAAAAATCTGGAAAAACTTGGCGTGTGTGTTTATTCGGCCCCCTTTACTTTGATACCCGTTGGTAAAATGTAGTGCATTTTAACTATAAGTTAACATTGAGAAGTTAACTTGGAGTAAATTGGAGTTCACTTTTGTAAAGTGTAGTCTTAGTATTAAGTCGTCTTAGGGCAGGGCGATAAATCAATAGTATATATTGCAATAGATATATGAGCAATATCAATAGACGATACCAGGACAATTTTGAGTAGTTTCACTGCACAGCATTCTCGAATGTCTTAGATCATCAAACCATATTCAAGTGTTAAAATTTCCCAAAAATCTGTGGCCAGATCTGTGAAGATCTAGATTCACAGACGCTCTCCATGTTATCCGTCTGCAATTTTTACAAAGAAAAATGTGCAAAGATGTTTGTCTATAGAGATGAAAAACTGGGACAAGCATACACCAAAAGATTTGCAGCTGTAGAAAAGCATTTACTCATTGGGAGCCAAGTACAATTGGACCAAATCATATTTCAGATTACTTGTAAAATATTCTGAAAAAAATCATTTTCCCAACCATTTCCCAATTTTGAACTACCTTGTTATGGTTTGTCATGAAACATCCTATTGAAAAACATGAGGTTATGATGCATCAAAATGGTGAACAACTCAAGTTTGCAAACTAATTAATCATCCCCAATGGATGCAAAGACTAAAAAATGTAATTAAAAAAAATAAAAAGTCCATACCAGTCGAGCCATGCTCAGCTGAAGACCAAACACCAGATTGAGCTCTTTGCCTTTGAACCAGTTGACTGCATACGTGTTTTGGGCCACGGCTAGAGACTCTCCGCCGATACTACCAAAGAAAACAGTTTAAAAAAAATGACAACAAAAAAAAACATGTTAGTTCTGTGTGAAAGTGGAAAAACTGATTAACTTTTGGTATAAAGAGCTTGTACGTCTGTCAAGCTATATACTCCATTTTGGAGATTTTGATTTAATTGGGTAAATATGAGAATTTAAGTGAGGTGATCAATTGAATAAAGCTAAAAAGATGTTGGATTTTGTGCTAATGTGAAAAATTACATACGAGTTTTTAGTGACCAAAATAGATTCTGAAAAGCTAAATGTTTTTACCCAAATACAAAGCGTCCAGCTTCCATTAGCCAAAAATGATTGGACCACGCTCCGGCTGCAAATATTACCTGTGAAGACATTTCAAAACAAAACATAGTTAAAAGAAGAAGAAAAAAAACTTCAAGTGACAATTTCACATCAAGAGTTTAACACAAACCAACCTGTCCAACACAGACAAATAGGGAAAAGATGATGGTTCCAAGCCTACAGAAAACAAGAATGCGCAACAAAACTCAATCAAGACGGCATTCAAAAAAGGTTTCACTTCTTTCACTGCAAGGATGCAAGGTGAGGATTTGGCACAAAACCAGAGCAACCTGGTTCTCTATCGTACCTGATGCCAAAAACCCTGTCGATGAGAAATCCTCCCAAGAAGCAGAGGACCACATTGGGCCAGGAATACCAGGCATACAGCTGCATGAACTCAGCAGTGTTCAAGTTCATATCCTGGAAACAGAAAAGGAAAACAAAACTTGTTCAGTAAGTAAGCCATTTTAAAATTAATAGGCACGTTAGCAACGCCGAAGATAAAAGTTCCTCGGAATGCGTCGTGAAATGCATTGAGTTGACTTCTCAATTGGGGATAAAAAAAAAGAAAAGAAAAGGAAACTAAAATTTCTACGACGGTGTTCAATAGTGGACGCCAAGAGGCTGAATTACCTGTATGACTTGAGTTTGAAGTGCTGCTGGGTTGTCATAACAGAAGTAGCTCCCTGAAATAAACGCCAAAAAGTATCACATAATGTGAACGTATTATTTTTCACTTTAGAGAAACACAACAATCCCATTCCAAGCCCTCTGGAAATGTTTCAAGACTTGCTTTCACTTTGTGCCATGCAAACATCTCCACAGCTGCTCACCGAATCCCAGGAAGCACATAAAAACCAGGACGACCACTCGGTGTAGGACGTGGCTGGGGTCGCAGATGGCGGACAGTTGTCTTCCGGGGCCTCGGTCTTCATTTTCGTCTCCCAACAGCGACCGCCGCTCCTCAAAATCCGCCATGTTCAGCTGTTGTTTGAGGAAAGCTGGCACAGAACTGGAGGAGGATCATATGACCCAACCGGAGAGATCACGTGGCTTTAAATTGAAGCGGGCACGTCGCGGGAGCGCGCGTTGAACTATGGATAGATGTCTGGTTTTTACATAGCTTTGCGTTGCAGCAGATAATGAAATAGCGGGGAGATATTTGTTAACGTTCTTTTGCCTTTTGAAGTTAAACATTCACGGCGTCTTTACCATTCTTGATGTAAACTGTATTTTTGGACAGAAAACCGTCAGAACGTCACCAAGATATAGGTACAAAATAAGTTATTGTCGACATTCAAAACCGGATGTGTGCACCATATATGGATGTTCCCAGGGGTTAAAGGTGTATTGGCTATTTATCGGCAATATTTACACAACGGGGGAGTGAGCACTCTTTTTACAATGACACAGAAAACGTGATTGTTGGTCATGATTTTTGAAAAAAACATATTTCTACAAAATTACAAAAGTACAAAACTGATTAAGATTTTACCACTTGTCTTTTTGAAGCAGGTGGAAGTGTGAGCAATTACAAATGGAAAGTCTTATTTCTTACGAAATGTGCCCTTGTCTGTAGAGACAATATTCTGGTACGGCTTTCTCTGAAACTTATCGTATGCGCACGCATTTACACAAATCAGAAACCTGTTTTACACAATATAGCACATCAACAAAATAGAAAAAACAAACAAACAAAAAACACTTGTAGCTCAAAGTTACTGTTACAGGGTTTGTGGTGGTAGGACCTCTTTGCAATCAGCCATTGAATGGATGGGACAACTGACTTTATGTCTCATTGTGTTATAAGTTAAATTCCATTTAACTGACTAATAAATCTTAATGAAAACAAAATAAGTATTTAATTTACTGCCAGAAGATAAAGAACAAACACAAGTGAGACGGTCTAATTAGAGCCCGGGGACATTACAAATCAGAACGTAAATCAGATTCAGTAGGTTACGCTGTAGAACAAAGACGACACCTGTTTCAATGTTCTGCTGCCCTCTAGTGGTTGAGATGGGTTTTGGTCGTATGCAAGAAAAAAAGAATACATTGACTGCATTAGATTGTATTTGTCCTCCAAATGAATGAGCAAATCCCTCTTAAACCAAACAGAATATAAATGTATTTAAAATAGACTGAATGATAAAATTTGATTTTAAGTGCTTCTTTACATCAGTAAAGCACAGGAAATGTGTTCATGGTGCTTTTTTTCTTTTGCATTTGCATGTTCTTGTTTCTTATACATGCTGTTGATTTCCTTTTAGATCTTCCAAATGTATTATGTGTAGTTTTATATTTGTGACACCCTTTCACCTTAGGTCCATTTGAATTCTTTTTAATATATAGATTGAAAAGGTTCCTGAAATTTGTTCATATTCGGTGTACCATATTGTTTATCTGATTACCTAATAGCTTTTATTATCAGTAGCGGTGGTTTATCCANAGATAAGATTTGTGCATCTTAGTGAGGGGAAAAGGTAAAAATACTTACTGGCCCTGTCCAATAAAGGGGAAAATGGCGACATAGTAAAACACACAAATGATGAAGATGAGCCACAGGGACAGGGAGAAATCCTTCACATCAGTCAGCTTTATAACTTCGCCTAAAACAGAAGATAAATATGTGCATCAGTTTCAGTTGCTTACCTCAAAGTCCTGGAATTATCTGGGTATCACAAGGAATTTATAAATAAAAATCAATCTCAGCACATAAGACAAAGAATTATCAGTTCAGCTAAAAAAAAAAGGACAACCTTGCATTTTTTGTAATCTGGATCGATTTGTATTGACAGATGAGTGTTAAGCAAGAACAAAGATAAAAACAAAGGCATTATCTTCACATTACCCGTTCTCCCCTGTTCCTTGTGAAGGATCCTCTCTGCTCTCTTATCCAGAAATCCCAGCACCAAGGCACAGATTAGAGAAAACACACAGGTTCCAGCCGCTAACAGGAAGAAAATAAACAAAGTGTCTCAAGACTTCAAGAACAGAACACGATATAATTATTTTAACATTTCCTGACAACTGAGTAACGGTCAGATGATCGAGTTAAAGTTTAACCAACAGTACTTCAAAGATGAGCAAAAGTAGAAGCGCTTTTGCACGGCCGAGAAAAAGCTTTTCACACCCCCACATGACTCATCCGAGGTGCCGAGTGGCACTTTTAGTTCCCTTTTCTGCTCGGCTGCGTTACCCGAGACGAGCGGAGGGCTCGGCAAGTCGGACGCATACGGCGACGAAAACATGTAACCAGAAGCTCGGGTTAAACTCCATCTCCTACCCAAGCGAAGCCAGCGGTTTTACACACAACTGTGTATTACTTACCTATCATGAGTGATATCCCGAGGGTCGTGTGTCCAGAGGAACCGACAGCGACCGCAACTTTACTGTAGACCCAGCCCATGATGTTCATGTTCACTGTGCTGCCCTACGGGAAAGGAGAGCAGACGGCGTCTCTTTACACCTACCAGCACCTTGCTAAAGTATTCACACACCTTGATGTAAAGGACAGTCAAATCACAAGCCTAGGTACATTTCATCTGGCATCTATAATAACCGAACACAAATTGGTACACGTCTGTGAAGTGGAGGAAAAATCTGACATCGTTTCAAATAAAAATCTGGAAAAACTTGGCGTGTGTGTGTGTGTGTATTCGGCCCCCTTTACTTTGATACCCGTTGGTAAAATGTAGTGCATTTTAACTATAAGTTAACATTGAGAAGTTAACTTGGAGTAAATTGGAGTTCACTTTTGTAAAGTGTAGTCTTAGTATTAAGTTGTCTTAGGGCAGGGTGATAAATCAATAGTATATATTAAGTTGCAATAGATATATGAGCAATATCAATAGACGATACCAGGATAATTTTCAGTAGTTTCACTGCACAGCATTCTAGAATGTCTTAGATCATCAAACCATATTCAAGTGTTAAAATTTCCCAAAAATCTGCGGCCAGATCTGTGAAGATCTAGATTCACAGACGCTCTCCATGTCATCCGTCTGCAATTTTTACAAAGAAAAATGTGCAAAGATGTTTGTCTATAGAGATGAAAAACTGGGACAGGCATACACCAAAAGATCTGCAGCTGTAGAAAAGCATTTACTCATTGGGAGCCAAGTACAAATGGACCAAAACATGTTTCAGATTACTTGTAAAATACTCTGAAAAATCATTTTCCCAACCATTTCCCAATTTTGAACTACCTTGTTATGGTTTGTCATGAAACATCCTATTGAAAAACATGAGGTTATGATGCATCAAAATGGTGAACAACTCAAGTTTGCAAACTAATTAATCATCCCCAATGGATGCAAAGACTAAAAAATGTAATTAAAAAAAATAAAAAGTCCATACCAGTCGAGCCATGCTCAGCTGAAGACCAAACACCAGATTGAGCTCTTTGCCTTTGAACCAGTTGACTGCATACGTGTTTTGGGCCACGGCTAGAGACTCTCCGCCGATACTACCAAAGAAAACAGTTTAAAAAAAATGACAACAAAAAAAAACATGTTAGTTCTGTGTGAAAGTGGAAAAACTGATTAACTTTTGGTATAAAGAGCTTGTACGTCTGTCAAGCTATATACTCCATTTTGGAGATTTTGATTTAATTGGGTAAATATGAGAATTTAAGTGAGGTGATCAATTGAATAAAGCTAAAAAGATGTTGGATTTTGTGCTAATGTGAAAAATTACATACGAGTTTTTAGTGACCAAAATAGATTCTGAAAAGCTAAATGTTTTTACCCAAATACAAAGCGTCCAGCTTCCATTAGCCAAAAATGATTGGACCACGCTCCGGCTGCAAATATTACCTGTGAAGACATTTCAAAACAAAACATAGTTAAAAGAAGAAGAAAAAAAACTTCAAGTGACAATTTCACATCAAGAGTTTAACACAAACCAACCTGTCCAACACAGACAAATAGGGAAAAGATGATGGTTCCAAGCCTACAGAAAACAAGAATGCGCAACAAAACTCAATCAAGACGGCATTCAAAAAAGGTTTCACTTCTTTCACTGCAAGGATGCAAGGTGAGGATTTGGCACAAAACCAGAGCAACCTGGTTCTCTATCGTACCTGATGCCAAAAACCCTGTCGATGAGAAATCCTCCCAAGAAGCAGAGGACCACATTGGGCCAGGAATACCAGGCATACAGCTGCATGAACTCAGCAGTGTTCAAGTTCATATCCTGGAAACAGAAAAGGAAAACAAAACTTGTTCAGTAAGTAAGCCATTTTAAAATTAATAGGCATGTTAGCAACGCAGAAGATAAAAGTTCCTCGGAATGCGTCGTGAAATTCATTGAGTTGACTTCTCAATTGGGGATAAAAAAAAGAAAAGAAAAGGAAACTAACATTTCTACGACGGTGTTCAATAGTGGACGCCAAGAGGCTGAATTACCTGTATGACTTGAGTTTGAAGTGCTGCTGGGTTGTCATAACAGAAGTAGCTCCCTGAAATAAACGCCAAAAAGTATCACATAATGTGAACGTATTATTTTTCACTTTAGAGAAACACAACAATCCCATTCCAAGCCCTCTGGAAATGTTTCAAGACTTGCTTTCACTTTGTGCCATGCAAACATCTCCACAGCTGCTCACCGAATCCCAGGAAGCACATAAAAATCAGGACGACCACTCGGTGTAGGACGTGGCTGGGGTCGCAGATGGCGGGCAGTGGTCTTCCGGGGCCTCTGTCTTCATTTTCGTCTCCCAACAGCGACCGCCGCTCCTCAAAATCCGCCATGTTCAGCTGTTGTTTGAGGAAAGCTGGCACAGAACTGGAGGAGGATCATATGACCCAACCGGAGAGATCACGTGGCTTTAAATTGAAGCGGGCACGTCGCGGGAGCGCGCGTTGAACTATGGGATAGATGTTTGGTTTTTACATAGCTTTGCGCTGCAGCAGATAATAAAATAGCGGGGAGATATTTGTTAACGTTCTTTTGCCTTTTTTAAGTTAAACATTCACGGCGTCTTTACCATTCTTGATGTAAACTGTATTTTTGGACAGAAAACCACCAGAACGTCAGCAAGATATAGGTACAAAATAAAAGATAAAGAAATAATGCTCCGCTTTTGCATTTTAATAAGTGGATAAGGAATTTTGAAAAGCTATTGTCGACATTCAAAACCGGATATGAGCACCATATATGGATGTTCCCAGGGGTTAAAGGTGTATTGGCTATTTATCGGCAACATTTACACAACGGGGGAGTGAGCACTCTTTTTACAATGACACAGAAAACGTGATTTTTGGTCATGATTTTTGAAAAAAACATATTTCTACAAAATTACAAAAGTACAAAACTGATTAAGATTCTACCACTTGTCTTTTTTTGAAGCAGGTGGAAGTGTGAGCAATTACAAATGGAAAGTCTTATTTCTTACGAAATGTGCCCTTGTCTGTAGAGACAATATTCTGGTACGGCTTTCTCTGAAACTTATCGTATGCGCACGCATTTACACAAATCAGAAACCTGTTTTACACAATATAGCACATCAACAAAATAAAAAAAAAACAACAAACAAACAAACAAACAAAAAAAAACAACACTTGTAGCTCAAAGTTACTGTTACAGGGTTTGTGGTGGTAGGACCTCTTTGCAATCAGCCATTGAATGGATGGGACAACTGACTTTATGTCTCATTGTGTTATAAGTTAAATTCCATTTAACTGACTAATAAATCTTAATGAAAACAAAATAAGTATTTAATTTACTGCCAGAAGATAAAGAACAAACACAAGTGAGACGGTCTAATTAGAGCCCGGGGACATTACAAATCAGAACGTAAATCAGATTCAGTAGGTTACGCTGTAGAACAAAGACGACACCTGTTTCAATGTTCTGCTGCCCTCTAGTGGTTGAGATGGGTTTTGGTCGTATGCAAGAAAAAAGAATACATTGACTGCATTAGATTGTATTTGTCCTCCAAATGAATGAGCAAATCCCTCTTAAACCAAGCAGAATATAAATGTATTTAAAATAGACTGAATGATAAAATTTGATTTTAAGTGCTTCTTTACATCAGTAAAGCACAGGAAATGTGTTCATGGTGCTTTTTTCTTTTGCATTTGCATGTTCTTGTTTCTTATACATGCTGTTGATTTCCTTTTAGATCTTCCAAATGTATTATGTGTAGTTTTATATTTGTGACACCCTTTCACCTTAGGTCCATTTGAATTCTTTTTAATATATAGATTGAAAAGGTTCCTGAAATTTGTTCATATTCGGTGTACCATATTGTTTATCTGATTACCTAATAGCTTTTATTATCAGTAGCGGTGGTTTATCCAGCTCCAAAGTTGAGAGTGTGCAAACTTATTTCAGTGTAATGTCAGTAAAATGTGTAATTTAGCATGTAAAACCAGCTGGGCAGTTCAATTTTCCTGTGATTAAACTGTGCAGCAATGTTCCTTAAATCTACAACTTTATTCAATATAACTGACGACATTAAGCTTGTTTGTTCAAAAGCAAGGTTTGAAAATAACCAGATACATGTTAACGAGGTACTAAACATTCTTTCCGCTGAACAAAATATATTTTCTTTTTTTTTTTTTTTCACTCTCTGTAACACACATAAACACGAGGGAGTTGTTTTGCAAGCTGCACAGCTGCGCTACTGGGTTCAGAAACTTTCCCCACAGGCTTACCCTGTGGTTGGTTGGGTGATCAACAACTGTTTCAGCTGAGCGACATCCTAAAAGTCAAGTCACTTGTTTTGCTGCGAGACTAAAAGTGAGGCGGACCAGGTTGGGTACAATTTTTCCTTTGTAATTTGGACTTTATCGAGAAATGCTTGAACATTTCTCGATAATGTTCAAGCATTATCAAGCGACAAAATTTTTTGTCACTTCTGTCGTGTTCATGAATGTCTTTCTCTGTTTATCCATGTTTCTGCAGCTATCTGAAACCTGTAGAAACTTCCTGATTTGTGATTTGCTTATCTGCAGACGTGTGGCTTCTCATCTTCACTGTTTCACCACACACCCGGTTGTAGTGAACTCTTGCCTTTTCCTTCTGACCAGACTTTATGGACATTCATTTTCATTCTTCTTACTCTCCAACATGGTGGATTTAATTTCCGTGAATGTCATTTAAAAATTCCAGTAGTTCACGATTACAGGGTCATCTGTCAGAGAATTTAATCTAAGGGTGACAAATTGCGCTTCCTGTAGCCACGGTCGCCGCTCCGGTCGCACTGCAGCTCATTAATTTCCTGCCCAAATATCAGCTTCTTTCATAACTGATAGAGAGTGGGTTGGAGAGAGATTATATGTCATTATTGCATTAATCAAACTCACATGCACACACTGTTATAAGCCAGGGGGCAGGTGACATTAATCCTGCAGAACTAGTTTGTGAATGTCTTGAGATCTATCTTCTTGGTAGTGGCAGCGTTGGAGAAAGTCATTCTGTTTCACATTTGCATTTTTGTCTCTCCTGGTTTAATTGAACGCCGATGGAGTAACGAGACCGGTGGAGTCAAAAGCTCGCAGCAACGTTTAGTTTTACACCTTCATACATTGGACCATGCTTCAGGGTGGATGTTGCTTAAACCCTGAGCTGTAAAGCTAATCAGGAAGCTATTTTTATGCAATAACACTGGTGTCGTCTGTGCTTCTAATGTGGTCAGAAACACACAAGTTCTTCAGAAGATGCAAAGTCTTTCTATTTAAGTCTCACAATTTCCTGAGCTTGTTTTGTCATTTGTACTGGAATATACGATATCATATAGGATGGAACCGTTTCCATCAGCAGATCAGAGGTGGGCCCCGGTCAGTACACCACATAAGCACCATATTTGAATTCCAAGTCAATAATTTCAATTTGCAGTTTACAATTTTTTGTATTCACAAGATTTAGTAATCTTTTTGGAAATAACTGTATTAAAAGGAGTACTGGTATTATACTTCATTTATTTTGTGTACTTTTTCTGTATTTTATTTCTAGCTGGGCTGCAGAATAGCACACAAAAATGTGATAAATTGGAATTTGTCCACATTACCCCTCTTCGCACTTGTCGTCAAAATGCAGCCATTCTTTCAGTGGCATTAGCTCTGTCAGGTCACCCACCGTGTGGTTTCCTTGACAATGTAGGCCAATCATGGCCAGTTCCTTCCTGACGAACTCTTTTCTCATGTGTTTGAGCTTTTATTATGGTTAGAAAAGATCTTGCCAACTCCGTTTGTTGATTATTATAAGTAGGGTTTTGCTATATCAACTCATTTCTTTCTTTGTGTTTATTATTTCACTATTAATTCTGTTTATTTTCTTCATTTCTGCATATTAGGTTATTATATTTGATTCTTTTTTTTTTTGGTTTGTGGATCCTTTGAGCCTCAGTTCATCTCCGTTTGTGTTCATCTATTCCTCCGTTTTGCTGCTTTCATTCGGACGCAGCTGTTCCACATCTCCTCTGATTAGTTCATCTGGCTCTTTTGACATTTCCCGCCCCTGTCTCAACATTTAAGCTCCCAGTTTGTAATGTGATGTTGTGTTATTTATTAAAAAGAAATACTTTTTTTTTCCATTCTTGTTTTTTTTTTACTTTTTTTTATGCCACTGGACAATGTTAATAAAAAAGTTATGAAAAATAATTATCCATAAATATAAAGAAAATGATATGCAGACATTAAATACACATGTGCATTACAATCAGAAAAACAACTTTACAGAGAAACAGTTCAGGTTAGAGTGAACCAGCAAAACAGTGACTTCTAGTACCATCAGTTCTCCATGCATAAACTAGTTCTCCAAAATTTGGGGTGAATGTATTATAAGATCTAACCTTTGAAGTAAAATGTTATTTACTTATAATGACTTATAATTTTGTCAGTGAAATACTTGACTTTTTTTTTTTTTTTTTTTACAAATATTACATATTTGCATGTAATAAGAAAAGAAGAAAACAGTCTTTTGAAGATAGATCAGTCAAGATTAGTTTACGACCGAAAGAGTTTTTGTGGTAATCTTTTCAGAGCACTTGTAAAGACAACCGCTATGAGTTGTCTTTAATTATTACAACCTTTTACTGTGAAACATGGCAGTAAAAACTCAAATAGATTTTGTTTGTAATAACAGAAAAAAAAATCTATGGTGATTAAAAAGTACTTCAGAATACAACATAAAATGTACAATTCTCTGCACTTGGAACATTTCTGTGGTAGAAATGGAACAACAATCCTAAAAAAAACAAAAAACAAAATTGGTACCAATCCCTCCATAATGGTGATATTATTTCTGATCAAATTTCCAGTAAATATTACAACCTCACTTAAGGCACATGAAACTAAAACAGCACTGCAAACATGCAGAACTGGGTCACTTATCATAAAATCTGCCCTATGGTCTCATTAGTGCTTACAGAAACTAACTGGAAGGCCATGTTATTACAGTTACCAGTAGTTTTGTAAGAGTACAATATAGCAGGTATGTTCTTTTCCAATAACCTGCAGCCAGCTCACAACAGCTGGTAATCTGACCCCCTTTTCTGATTTGCTTTGTTTTTCTGAGATGCTTAATTCAAGCCCCGAAACGCAGATCTGGAATCTGAAAGCTAGATCTTCATGTGCAAAACTAGTTTCGAGTTACATCTGAAAGCTGGTATAGCTGGTATACCACAGCCTTTACCTCATGTAAAAAGTGTGGTATCATCCGCTAAAGCTACATAATTATTCAAATGAGCTTTATAGAAATAAAATGACTACTGTGCGACTAAGACATGAATATATCGCGCTTATGCAAAAATATTAGTAATCCAATGATTAGTACCACATTTTTTTCGTCATCAGGTTGCCCTAACAGATTCTGGTCTGCTACAGTTTTTATTTAGCTCTTCTTTGACAAGTAGATTTTAAAATGTGTTCTGTCAAAATTATTTTCACCCCAATACAGTAAGTCTGAAACAAAGGGAAAGTGCCGTTTGAGCAAGATTAATCCACAGGATGCAGACATTGACAGTAAGCATTGTTAAGGAAATATGTCAGATGAGTAAGCAAAAAACATTTTTGCACGACATTCGCTGAAACCACAGGCACTGAAAGTACTGGCACATCCGATTTGTCCGAGTCCATTCACAGTCGGCTCATTTTAAGAGTTTGTGCAAGCTTTCTAACAGAACGAACAGTAAACAGTCGTCCAGGTATGAAAGACGTCAGCAGTCGAAGCTTGAGGCTGATGTGCATTGATTGATGTGCGATGTGTCATTGAGTGACAGCCTGGTAGTGTGGTCCACTGGTGACATCTCCATGTGCGTCAATGAGGATTTGGAAGACTCCTTGGGGTCTTTGCAGATCATGGTCATCAGTCTCTTCCTGAACACTTTGCACAGGAAGACGTAAATAAGCGGGTCAAGGCAGACATTAGTTGCAGACAGCCACAGTGTGGTTTCCTTGGCGATGTAGAGTGCGCTCTCTGCTCGGCAGTCTGCAAGTTTGAGTCTGCGTGTTTGAGTCAGCATATAGGGCACGATTACAGAATGGAAAGGGGCAAAGCAGACGAAAAATACCCCCACCACCACAAACACTTTGGCTTTGGTTCTTCTATTTGCAGCATGAGATTTGCTCTTTGAGGCTTTGTATGACTCATAGACCTTCTTGCTGATGAACGTGTAGCAAAACACCATCAAGGCAAATGTGCACCAAAAGATGACCTAAAACAGAAATAAATAAGCCATGAAGCACAACCAGTCATCTGGCGTCACATTTTTACAAGTTGTTAGTGGATCAGGCCTGACTGAAAGTAGTTCTCAGTCTGTGCAGATTTGATTCCTTTTATGTGAAAAATGAATATTCTAAATAAGTGATGCAGTAGATGAGTTGATTAATGAATGCTCTGCCTTTGCTAGGAGTTGAAGCAGTTGCTTTTAAATGCTTAGTTCTCAAGCATGGGGATGACTTTCTATTGGATACATCAAATAACTGTTGGAGTCCAAATAAAACTTGTTTCTCAGAATATTTGTATAGTGGTTACCTGGCAGAAGTAGTTGAATCCCGCATGCCATAGTTTGCCCGCTTCGCCCTTCATGGAGGAGCATTTCAGTTTGCCCCTCGAGGTTTTAGGGGGCTGGTTGCTGAGAATGACATTGGGCAGGGCCAGAGACAGCATTACAATCCATACTGCTGCACTCAGCCTCTGGCCAACCCGAACCTTCTGCGGGACACACTTTCCAAAGGGCCTTACGATCTTCAGGAAGCGGTCCAAGCTGATGAGGCCCAGCAATAAGATGCTGATGTACATGGTGATGTAGAAAAGGACAGCAGAGAATCTGCAATGGAAGGCACGTAGCTGCAAGGAACCCACTCCTGCATCACTCAAGATTTTGATAGGGATGGTTAGAGACATCAGCAAGTCGGCCACCACCTGTTGGTAAAGCGTGAAATGTATTTTTATTATTATTATTATTGTTTCCAACCACTCTGTATCAATAGTAACTTATGTTCTTAAGTAAGAGCTTACCACATTTTTTAAGAAGACCAGAAAAGTTGTGGTGCTGGGAATTCTGAAGAAGATCCACGCGGCTAAAGAGTTCAGCACAAGGGCTACGGCACAAAGAATGCTGTATAGAACTGGGAATATCACCGATGTCACACGGGGATCTCTGATACACTCCGAGGAGACATTCACTGTGGTGTTCATCTTCCGATCCTTAGTGAACCTTTGAAAAGACGATCTTCGTTATGTGACCATATGTGACCAGTCACATAACGAAGATTGAAAGTAATACTGAAAGCGCATTTCAGTTTCAGCATCAGGTGCATTTGCAGATGAAGTGAAACTGATGAAGTGCTGTTGAGAATTTTTGGGTGTACCACCCGAACTTCCATCTTTTGACTAAGAATGGTTTGTGGTCAATTTGTCACTTCCTCAATTTGTCCCCACATTTTGCATAGATGCACTTTAGTTTCATCTTGTCCAGCTTCTAGGTTTTATTTGTATAATAAAGAACTCGTACTTAAGTACTTGAACCATGACATATTGGTTTATGTTTTTGTTGTTGTTTCATTTTTCATTTAAAAAAAGAAAGTCCAATTTGACTAATATCGTATGTCGCACCCCAATCCCATTTTTTTGGTTGAAATCCCTATTTTACATTATGTTTGGTCATTAAATTGCAAATTTTTCTGCTGTTGACTACATAATAGAAAATAACTTTGACTCGTTTGTTCCCACATTCCACATACAAACCTCTCTTACTGATACATGGGCATAAACTACCACAACAAAGCTACCAACGTACAAGATGGCAAAGGGAAGCAATGACTACTTCCAGGAAATCTGTGACATTGTATGGTCATTTTAATACATGTAAAGTAGGCTGTTCAATACAATAACTTCCAGTAGAAGCAAAAACTAAACTTTTCCAAGAAGCGCATGCTTTATCAGCTATTATTTGTTCTTCTTTTTTTTTCTTTTTTTTTACACCGATTTAGAAAAATCTACATGTGTCCTTCTTCTAGAAGTAAAACATAATTACCCCTGTGGACTGCAAAGCTGCTACTGTTTTGTAACCCTTATTAATAACTTCTGTGAACAAATCCAAGATGGTGAAAACCTGATGTAAATCCATCAGTCCTGAAGATAAAGACAGTAGATTCAAGCCATTCTAACAATACAGGAGAACTTTTGAACTAAAACACAATTTTTCCACAAAAAAAGTTTCCTTCATATAAAAAATTAAACTTACTGAACTTACTTACTGGTTTTGGTTCTGTCATTTAAATGTCATGCAATTACCAAACAAATGTCACTTGATGAACATATTTGTGTGAAGACACGACTACCCCACCTGAAAGTGTGTGCGAAATGCAAGGAGCAACGCTGAAGCCGAGAGCAGGCGCTGCGACAGCGTGAATCATGTTTTCAAACAACGGATGATCCATGCTTGCTCTGAAACGCGATTCTTTGCATCCAACCGATATTTTGTGTCAGTGAAAAGTCGAGGCTTACCTGCTGTTGTGACAGTGGGCATTGGCAGAATAACGAGAGCGGTGAAAAGCACAAGGTTTCACAAAAAAAAAAAAGAGAAGTGAAAAATCCAATTCCCCTTTTCTGTCTCACTGCAACTCGGAAAGATAACAAAGAATGCTGAAATAAAAGCAAAAAGCTATTTTTTTTAATCAGTATTAAAAAAGAAGTAAAAAAATAAATAAATAAAATAAAAACAGCTTCTGATATTAGGACTGAGCCTGCCTGTTTCTCTGAGCTTTGTCCCTCCTGCTGCTTTTCTGCTTTTAACTGCGTGTGTGTGTGTGTGTGTGTGTGTGTGATGCTCTTACAATGGGTGGTCTCTGGAGTTATTGTGAGGCTGTCTTGTCACAATCCCAATGAGTTAGCTAGTCTTCCTCCGGGTGAAAGACCCCTTCCTTCCTTGCTTCCTGTTCCAATTGTCTGCCGAGAGTCTTGTTCTACTCCGTGCCAGTCCCTCTGCCTCCGTCAGCCCCACTGGCTGTTGACAGCCAAATGCTAAACCAACAGCAAGTTTCTCAAGAGTTTAGACCTCCTGCAAAATGTTGCGCCCTCCCTTTGCGCCACAACATGTGTTTATCTCGGTCTAAAACAGAAAGTGGTTTCTGGTGAGTAGTGGAAGGACATTAAATGACAGCCACTGGCATTTTTTTTAAAGCCTCTATTTAATTGATTGTATTTCTCAAAAGAAATTATTTGCATATTTTATTACTGCAGTAATATGATAGTCAAATGCAATACATGATATCCTCCAGTCTGTAAATCAAGTTTTGCTTTGACATCTCAGTTCCCCTCTGTGTTAAAAATAAAAGTTATTATTATTTTTTTTCCTGAGAACTGTCCAAAATGACTTCCTGTGTGATTTTCCCTGGATTTGACCCAGGAATTATGACAGATGGAAAGAACGTGCTTAAGAGATAGTATGCATGCTAAAAAAAAAAAAAAGAAAAAAAAAAGTTGCTCCTCAGCCAGTCTTTAAAACTGTGAGTGAGATTAACATCTATTTTAAATCCGCACATACTTTCAGTTTCGTATCTCAGATATAAGTTGAGATCCATCAAACACATGACAAGGAGGTTTATTTTTAAGGATGTTTATTGGGTTGTTAAAATGTGCAACATTCCAATATAATTATGTGATTTCTGTCACTTTAAGTAGTTGTTCCTAAAGCAGTGGAACTGAAGTCACGTTGCACACAACTTGTACATCTTAAAGTAAACCACACAAAAATGATTGCAGCTGCTGATAGAGACGCTAAATATTAGCAGACAGCCCTTGACCTCTCAAAACAACTACATTTTGCGCTCTAATATTTTAAAATGATGTTAGCATTTCAGACAAATAAAGTGACATGTCCTACAAACTGTGTCAACATCTGAGCTCAAATCATAGCTGATATGGAATACATTTTTTTTTTTAAATCACACCATTGTAAATCTGCCTTGTGTTTCTGTGGCACAAGCAAATATGTTGCTTTACGTTTCTGGTACTTAGCACGCTATTTTAATTCCAGCAAAGCCTGACTGTGTGAGTGCTGCAACTTAGGGGCGCTATATGTAGTGCGCACGCAAACCACTTGGTATTTATTCAAGAGCCACTGAAATGTTACACCAGTGGCACCTTTTATAGAAGTTTTGTCTACACCAACAAAGATTAACCAAACTCGGCCTGCTGAATGCTTGCAGTGATCCACAAAGTGAAACTTTTTGACTCGTTTTCTCAGTAATCCTATGTTATTGAGAAAAGCAAATAATCAAGTGAGAACGTGAGGCTACATGAAGACTGGGTTTATAACAACATATTATTATCAGAAGAAAGTCAGACAATGCTTAATAACAGAATAACAAAAAAAAAAAAAGTTGCAGTGTTGCCACAGAAAAAGTCCTTGGAGAGGACACGATACACAAGTGCCACAGTGCATCTTGTTTCTTGAAGGGGTTTTATTATGTTTTCTCCAGGCACATTGTACCATTTCATACCACAATCAAGTAACTATGTGACCTTCAGTTGTCATAGAAATGCTGTGTGTGTCAAACATGTCTTAGAAATAACTTGACGCCTTGAAATCGCTCTCTGTCTCTTTAAGAAGTTGCTGCTCTTTCCAACACTCCTCCTTCAGCATCACAGCGGTGCTTCTCCACTTTATTGTTTAGATTCGTTCTTAGGGCCACTGGACTGAGAAGTTGTTCATATGGTGAGCTCAGTGGACTCCAAGGTGTTGGCTAATTGCCTCTGCTAGTCTGGTGGAGTCGAGTGGGGAAGGCATGATGGAGGGCTGCTCTGTGAGATGGATGCTCGGCTGGAGACGACAAGGAGGAGCTTTGTGGAAATAGATTTGTGTGAGCACAAGCGTTTAGGCATCCTGAATAGTTGCCGAAACACCTATACAGGTTTTTATAGGTGTTTAAAATCCAATTAATTTAAATTTTGCCAATTAAAATCCAGATTTACATTTAAAGTGTTCTTAGGGTCCATAGCGATGTTTCTATTAAGGTTTTTTTGATGCACAATTTGCAGTATTGTGTTAGAGAAGATTGATGGAAATGGTAAAATTGGGGGGAAAAAAAATCTGTTCATTTCAGATAAAAAAAAAAAAAATTATACACGCTTTTTGGCTTTTTCAAAAAAGAGTTAATGTCCAAAACAGGAAATGGAAACACATTGGCCAAATAAGTTCTGATGGAGCAAACTTTCCCATCCACTGGTCGATCTGAGCACAACACTTAGAAAAAAATACCTCCAGCCCGGAGGGGCCACTAGGAGGCACTGCAGGCTGGGATGGGACTGATGGAGGTCACATTAGTGGAATATTTTCCATCTTTGACTGGTTTTTGAAACAGTGACAGGATAATCTGAAGGTCATCCGTCATTTTAATAGGGGTATATAATGGAAGCAAGCAAGGAAAAGAAACAACAACACGCTACCTAAATGGGATCTGATGCTGCACAAAATACTCTTAATTTCTTCCCTTTAAGAACCACGAAATGACATGTCTACATATTTGACTGCAGCTTCAGCAAGGCAATGCGTCTTTGAACTTTTGCTTTCCTGGTGCTTTAAAGCTATTTTCCATCATCGACATTAGCTTCTCCTTGAACTCTCGACAAAGGAAGACGTAGAGCAGGGGGTCCATGCAGATGTTGGTCGTGGCGAGCCAGTGGCTGAGTTCCTTGGCAAACCTTAGATGTTCATAGGTCGGAGAGCAGTCTGCCTTAGAGTAGGTGACTTGCTGAGAAGTGTACGGGATCCTGATGATGTGGTACGGGCCAAAGCAGATGAAAAACACAATGATGACGAGAAAAACGCGCAGCTTGATTTTCTGCTTCCCCTGGCTGTTGTTGCTACCGGAGTTTCTGTACGACTGGATAACTCTGTTTGCGATGCAGATGTAGCAAACGACAATGACCACGCTAACAAACCAAAAGAATATGTTCAGGAGTAGAGATATTTGCTCGTGAAACTGCACTCCTTCCGGGCCTTTCAGAACCATGCACGTGGTGATTAATGAGGCGTTGGCCACGGATTTGTTCGTCAGGAGGATATTTGGCAAACCCGTACCTCCGAACAAAACCAGCCAGACTGTGGCGGATATCACTTTGCTCATGGTGAGACTCTGCCCAAAGATCCTGCTGTGCGGCATCATGATCTTAAAGAAACGGTCCAGGCTGATGAGCCCCAGCAAAGCAATACACGTGTACTGCGCGTTGTAGAAAATGACAGCAAAAAAACGGCATGTCGGTCCAGCCAGTTGCTCCCATGTGGTAGGCAAGTCTGCTGCGGCTTTCATTGGGATCATCAGGGTCATGACTATGTCGGCAGCCACGAGGTTTTTAAGGTACACCACGAAGGTGGAGGTCGACTTCAGATGCACGGACACCCACGCTGCCACCACATTCAACAACAAGGCAATGGGGAACATGAGAAAGAAGAGAGCTGGGACTATGTAAGGGTTGTAGGAAAACCTCTCACACTCTGACTGATTGAGAGCTGAATAGAGGGACGGATTCGCTTCATCTGAGGAAAATAAAAACAAAGATGATAGTGGTTAATGCTATTTCAATGCTAGCAGCTAAACTGAGAAGTGATTTGATCTTTTGAACAACCACGTGAAGGATGAAGCTTCTCACCTTGGTTATTAATTTGTGGATCCAGGTAATCAGCCATGATCTGTTATTTATTCCATGCAAATTTTGAACTGGAAGATAATATAAAGGAGTGTTTTTATTTTAGAGCAAACAGCCGGCTATTTCACAGTGCTTGTATGTTTATCTTGATACTTGATGAGGTCTTACAAACAAAACTCGTCGTTTTTGTCTTTTTCTGAGTTTAGAGACACCAAGCACCAAAGTGTATAAGGTTAAATTAAATCTGATGAAAATATTTTTGGTCATTTGAGCGGGAAGCAGTCTTTTAATCTGAGTTATCCTGCAGCCTAAGGTGGAACAACAATGACAGAGATAAATTTACGTTACATATAAAGCCCCAAGCCATGGTAAGTTTACATTTAAACAACAAATGTTTCACCTCAGTAAAAAAAAAATAAAAAAATACATGAAATGTAAAAACTTTAAATTGTATCAAGTTTATGACCGGAAATAATTAACTATTGATGTCCCTGTAGCTATCCCGTATTTTCTTATAATGTGTTATTTCAATAAATACAGACATTATCTCTCAGAATCGCTAAAATTATTTTATTCACCACAGTCTTTTCTGTAAAATTACATCTGCTTATTACATTTTCATAGCAACATATATGCTTTCCGGCAGCAAAACAGAATAGCTTTTCACTGAGAGACCTTACAGGTGACTAAGAAAATAAGTTTAACTTGGACATATCTGCAGAAAAATCTCTTATCTGTTAATTATAATATCACAATACATGTACCATATCATATTTTCAACCACTTCACACTTTTTGTACTGGGGTTTACTTTAAATTATGTACAAGATATCACTTATAGAAAAACAAATCCTTTAACTCTTAGGAAAAAAAAAAGTTTTTCTCATAGCACCAAATGTTTAGCTTTTAATAAAATGTTGTTTTTTTAATTATTATTAATTCATGATAAGTTTAATCACTAATTATTATGTCGTGAGCTTATCTTTGACCAGCCTAATAAAAAGATGTCTATCATAACCAACAATAAGAAAAAAAAAAATACTGTTATGATAAAAACTTACGACAGCTGAATTCAGTCGCTCATCAAGCGCAGAAGTACATGTTGGCTCAGTCTGACAGGGATATGCTATTATAGGAGCTCAAGAACCACCTCTGATTTTCCTAGCAAACACATTGAACTGGCAGCTGTATTAAGACGGGCGATTTTTCAGGGCATATGCAAAAATAGGGAAAACATGATGGCACTGTGGAGCTGACACAAGAGACCCAAGCCTCAGGCTGAGGGCTGATATACTTGATATTTTAATTTAACTTTTAAACATATTATACACTGCTCAAAAAAATAAAGGAAACACTCAAATAACACATCCTAGATCTGAATGAATGAAATATTCTCATTGAATACTTTGTTCTGTACAAAGTTGAATGTGCTGACAACAAAATCACACAAAAATCATCAATGGAAATCAAATTTATTAACCAATGGAGGCTTGGATTTGGAGCCACACACAAAATTAAAGTGAAATGTTCCCTTTATTTTTTTTTAGCAGTATATTTTTCTGTTGTTGATTACCAGAAATGAAATACTAATCTTGGCAATGATGTAACATAGGCTTTTATTTTTTTCCATTAGAAGATTAAAACACATAACCTTTTATTAAGACCTTGCACTTCCTCCGACCTTGGTTTATGAAAATTCAAATGCCAGAAATATCTGAAGAAAGCTGAGAAGATTATTTTTCTGAGTACGATTTGATTTTACATATATGTTTACACACTTAGCATTATTTTGTAAAGAATAAAAGAATGTCCTGACCTAGGAGGCTGTTTCCAGTGAGCTGCTAGAGATTTTGAGAACTTATTTGTCTCTTTTCTTTCACTCTGGGATAAAATGAATCTCTGACTTACTAGTAGAAGTTAATGTCAAGTGAAGGAGTTCTACAACTCTATCAACTTTGACTTTTCTCTTTGTTTCATATTCATATCCTTCGGTCTTAATAAAATGCAGCTTTGGGGTTCAAGCAGGAGAAAAATAAAGCTATTTTATTCTGACAAGGCGCATTTTATGGCTGAAAAAGAACATGTGATGACCTTATGATTTCAGGAATAGCCCTTTATATGCCAAATGGTTTTCTGTCACTTTTAGCACACAGAACTTTGTCTTAATAAATCTTATACTGCACAACTGCTTTTAAATTTGTGAAATAAAAAACTCTACCCTGTAACTCATGTTAAGTCTGAATAATTTCAAAACAGGATTACATCAAAATAACTGATTAAATCTCATCTTAGTGGACAGATCATTCAGTCATCTGTCATGATTCATTTACTACAGCCTTTACATACTGCACTCTGGAAAACTTAGATATATTAACCTAGTGTTATGTTTTCACCTTAGAGTTCTTTCCTATTGAAGAAGTAAAATAAAATAAAAAACCCCGAACAAATCATCAAAAAGGAATTTAATACGTTTACCTCTCATTTTCACAAATTAACGTCAAAAAAATAATTTCATTAAAGAGAAATATCCAGATATACAGAGAATACAAGACTGGGGAAAAGAATTTAATTTATACCCCACCGAGATTTACTAGAGATTTGATATTTGGTCAACTTGTAAGACAAAAATCCAAAGCAATATTTTTCTTTCTGTCTCGTCTCCATTACGATTACTCTAAAACTCTTTTACAAGAATCACTGATGGTACTTAGTTTCATTTCAGCTGAACTCAGAAAAAAAAAATTGGTATCAAGAATTTACAAAGGCAAACAGAAAGTTTATTAATGGACAAAAATTAATTTGTTGACTAAGCTCAACCATTTCTGTATAAAAAGGAACCATTTAAAAGAGAAGCATGACAGAAAGAAATTGAAATCAATGAATCGAAGTCAGACCATGTATTGTGAAATAACAACAAGCCCAAATTGATTGCAGTGGCTACAGCTATATTTTAAAGATGTAGTGGCCATGTTGGATTTGGGAGTCTGATTTGAAGAAACCTTTCCCTACTGGATCTTGAGGGTAATTCCTGGGAATCTTGTAAAAATGCACTACTTCTGCATATTTGTCGTCATGGTTTTTGTTTAATTGTTTAATTGTTTAATGGTTTTCTTTAATTTTTTTATGTTTTGCAAAAAACACAACACACTAAAAAACAAGAACAACAACAACAACAAAAAAAACCCTGATTTAAAATGTCTCTCAATTTAGAGAAATCTTTAGTTTTCACTGAGATGATACTTTTTAAAAAAAGGTTTGAAAAACACAGTAACCTGTGTAACCAGCCTTTAATCTCAAAAAGATGTCAATCTACATCTGGTCACTAGAGGGCTGTGCAACATAAAAGTTAAAAATGACCCTTTCCCTGTTTTTCTCTTAATAAAACATTTTTAAACCTGAGGAAGTCTCTATTTTTGACAGTCACCTTCTTTGTTTCACTTGTTCAAAATGCAGATGCCTGCTCCTTTTACCATGTCAGTCAGTTTGGTTTTGTAGCTTTTGCACAGGAGGACATACAGAAACGGGTCGAGGAAGACGTTTGTGGAAGCAACCCAGATGGCTAATTCGTGCAATATGAGCAACCATTCTTGATTGCAGACATCAACTTGATGCAGATTAAGAGGGATGCGTAGTAAATGGAGGGGAGCAAAGCACACACAAAACACAAGGAGAACCAGGAAGACCCGTAGTTTGGTCTTCTTCTTTCCTTTGCCGTTGTTGCTCCCGGAGTTTCTGAAGGACTGCAGGACTCTCATTGTGATGCAGACATAGCAAGACACAGTCAGGACGCTGCAAATCCAGAAAAGGATCTCCATAAAGCTCACCACGTACCTGTGAAAAGTCAACCCAACTGGCCCCTTCAGGGACAAGCAGCTGTCTTCCGAGTCATTGCGAGGAGTTTCATCAGTCAGAATCATAGTTGGGACAGCCGTACCTCCGAACAGCACAACCCAAACGAAGTTGGATGCTATTTTGCTGAACACTATGTTTTGCCCCAGCGTGCTTCCCCAGGGCCGAACAATTTTGAAGAAGCGGTCCACGCTGATGAGACCCATCAAGGTTATGCTGGTGTACAAACTGGTGTAAAAAACGACTCCAGCATAACGGCACGTAAAGACCTTAATCTGAATTTTTGCCCCAGGAAGCAGGTTTGCGGCCATGGGAGGGATGGTCAATGTCATGAGCATGTCAGCCAGCACAAGGTTTTTGAGATAAACTACAAAAGTGGAAACTGAGCGGAGGTGGAAAGACACCCAGACCGCGAGCCCGTTGAGCAGTAACGCAAAGGGGAACATGACGAAGAAAAGACAGGCAACGACGACCTTCGTGGCCTCGAGGCTGGAGGGGCTGCAGTCCGAGATGTTTGACGCGTTACCGTACATCCTCAGGATCTGTCGGGAAACATCGGGGCAACAAACAATTCTCAGAAGCACATAGAAACAAACAAAGCACTGACACTTGATTTTCATCTCTGATTGACTTGCTAATGTTGTTAATGAGTCTTCCTGACAGATACCCCCTTGACCGAAAGCAACATCGCGAAATCAGAAGAGTTTGTCTGGACTTACGTCAGCTGTGGACAGGGTCAGGACAGGGCTCCGAAATGACCTGGAACACGTTTCTGATTGATCAGGAACGGGGAATGACTTCTGCTTTACATCTTATTCCTGCTTTCCCCCAGCATGTCTGATTTGCAATTGCCATTAGGTAAGAAAACATTTGTTGCAGTGTCCAACCAGAGCATTTGAATGCATCCTGAAACTTGAACCTGACAACAAGAAATGGATATTATGTAATTGCTGTTCTACTTTTCCCGCTTTTTAAATCAAAACCTTTAGTTGTTGTACAGGCACAATCAACTTAAGATGCTCAATTGCATTCGTTTTTGTCTTGTCTCTAGGGACGTCCCAAGATGCTTTGTTCCCATTTGAAATTGTTGACATTTAGACAATGCTGAATTTCATTCAAAGTTGTTTAATTCCCCCGCCTGCTCCATCCTTCCCATTCTGATACTCTCAGTCAGAGCTTCAGTCAGCCATCTTTGTCACACTCAGACAGCTGAATGTACTGAATTTCTGCTATGTGGTTGGTCGAGTCACGATTTGGCTGAACAAAAACAAACATATCTGGAGTCAGTTTCTTCGGTGTTTAATGAAGTATGTTGCAAAATCTACAGAAAACTCACAACTCAACAAAAACATGTATACAGTCATTAGAACTTAATCTGAAGGGGAAAAAAACAGAAACTACATATAAAGGACAAACACAAAAATGAAATATGTAAGACACAAAATGTCATCATACTTTTTGTTTTTTAGATAGTCATTTGGCATAACAACATAGAAAAGAAACTTGTTGATTGTTATACATAGGAAGAGGGAACAGAAACAGACATGCAACTGTTGCAACTTTTGTCGTAAAAAAAAAAATCATGAAAATAAAAAGTCTAAATTCTCATCACTTTCAGTTGCTTTTGGTTACATATTGTATCACATTTGATGCTATTTCTCATTTTACCATATGTACTATTCTCAAAACAGGACATTTTTGAAGTGCCCTGCAGTCTGTCACAGAAAGTTTATATATCCAGTGCCCGGTCACAAAACTCTACCTTATATCCAGCAGATTTATGTGGCTGTGGACGAGTCTCTGACCGACTCTGACCCTCTTTCTGTTAGCCAGCTGCAGGTACCGGCAGGCAGCCGCAGGGTCTTGAACAAAGTGGTCCTGAAGGATCGACAGAGGAAGAAGTAGATCAGAGGGTCCAGCACGGCATTTAGGGAAGAGAGGAAAAGTGTGCTTTCCTTTAGCTGGAAGAAGAAAAGCCGGAGCTTGCAATCAAAGAGAACCCCTCTAGTCTGGCTCATGGTGTAGGGGATTCGTACAAAGTGAAACGGCACAAAGCACACAAAGAACACCGCTAGCACGAGGAATACATTTGCATTCATTTTTCTCTTGGCTTGGGGAGACTTCCGAGTTGTTTCTGTCCTCGCTGCTAAAGATATCGTCCCTTCAGGGCAGTGGGACTTGGTGCGAGAGTAGGATTTGTACAACTCTTTGGAAATTAGAGTGTAACATATTATCACGGCAACCAAGTTTCCCCAGAAAATCACTTGGCAGACGTAATTTACCACCTCATGCCAAAACAGACCAGCCTCTGTCTTCAGGTCACTGCACTTAAAGTACGGAGAAGTTGGGGCTTTTCGTGTAAGGATCACATTTGGCAGGCAGAGGACCAGCAAAAAGCTCCAGATGGCCCCCGAGAGGAATTTCCTGCGGGCCAGACGGGCAGAGTTGGTGCCTCTGAACGGCATCAGGGTCTTCCTGCAGCGATCGATGCTGATGAGCCCGAAGAACAGGATGCTGATGTACATTGTGAGGTAAAACAACACGGAGGAGACTCGACACACGAAAATCCTGATGTGTGACGGCGCCATGTTGGAGTCGGACAGCACCTGCAAAAATAAAGTGTTCATTCCTTTAGGGTTGCCTCTTTTTTTTTTCTTTTTTTTTTTTTTTTTTTTTTTTTTACATTCACACAGTTTGAGTTTGTTTGAGATTTACAAAGTTCTAATTATTAAATCGAGGAAAAGGCTTTTAATTCCCACCAGATATTTAGTCCAGATTTATTACTTATAGATTTTCAGAAGCTCCTATTTGTTAAGCAATTTTTCATCCTCTGGGATAATTTTGACAACAGAAATTTAATAGGAGATAGATCTTGAAAACCTAACAACATAAACCAAATAAAGTCCACCACATGTACTGCCACCAATGAAGAAGGGAATATGTTCATTGCATATTTAAAACCTTTTTTCTTTTATTTTAAACTAGCTGTAGCCCCCTCTTTGTGAGTGAAAATCATGAATGTACCTTGCTTCACAACTGACATTTCTGCTTGTGCATCTTTTTACTGAAAGCTTTCCTTCCACTCAACTTTCCAATTATATATCTGCACTGAGCAGTCTATGAACAACCAGTTTCTTTTGTGTTGACTGTGATTTATACTCTTGTGAAGTGTGTCTATCATACTTTATAGGATGTTATACTATTATAACATCCTATAAAGTTTTACATCACAGGGGTGTTATTTGGCCATTTCAAATATCACGTCCTTTTGTCTTTCCCATTTTAAATAAGGCTATAATGAAAGAAACCTACAGCATATCTATTGTCATAGATATACCCAAGAACACATTAAGTTATTGGTGGTTAATTTTTTAAGCTTTCTGATCAATATAAAGGCACATTTTAAACTTAGTGTGGAACCAATAATTTAGCGACTAAGTCAATTTTCTCCCCTTTGCAACCAAAGATAAACCTCGGAGGTGTATTTTTTATTTTTCATCTTTACCAGCAGCACCAGTACATACGGAGGGCATAGAAGCCACTGATTATTATTATATTTTAACACAAGCTACATATAAATGCAACAAACCTTGAAGGGGAACGTCAGCGTCATGACAACATCTGCGACAACGATGTTCTTCAGGTAAATAATGAAGTGCGAGCGAGACGGGATGCGAAAAAACACCCAGACTGCGACAGAATTGAGAGAGAGTCCCACCAGGAAAAGACAGGAGTACAAGACGGGCAGAACAAGCGTCTTAAAAGCGTTGTCGCGGGAGCAGGTGCTGTTGGGGAACAGCTGAAGGGTTGCATTTCCATCCATGTGTGTGGCTAAAAGCAAGAACAAGTAAATGTGGGGTCACTTAAAATATGAATCAATCAATAGAAAATACACAACAAAAGACAGTGTTTCTTATTTAAAATAATATACAAATAAATACATCATGTGACTTTAATACAATTCAGTCTAAAAGTGTAAGACAAATCTTGAAAAACTACTAAACACGGCTTACTGTGGCGTTTTGTTCATCAATTTGAAGGCCCTATCTCACAGCAGAATCACTTCCTCACTAATTTGTTGTTGCAAATTTAATATAAATTTCTTAACCGACCTGGTCGTTTTGATTTCTTGGTATCTCTTCTCAGTATTCTTTCCAGATGTCATGCTCCGTACGCTTTATGCCGTTTTGTGACTGTCTCTGTGTTTTAAGCAGTTTTGTTTTTGAGTCATCATAGGATGACATTCTCATTTCTCCATTCTCTTTCCTGAGACAACAAGTCGTAAAAAAAACAAAAAAACAATACAATTTCTGGGTGTGCATAGCAGCTAATCAGAAGGCTTTTGTAAATTTTTAATATGGGTTTTGGCTTTCTTTAAACTGAATTTGAAAAATGTGAAAACTGTAGCATCTATAAAACAACAAACACACAAAAAACCAAGAAACACAGTTACTTTCCTGCAATCTCTATTTTTAAAGCATTTGACCTCTGTTATACAGATATGTGCTTCCTCTTTGCAATTTTGTTCCTTTTTGCAACAGTTGTGCAAAAAGGAACCAGCCTGCAGGAGCTCACCGAGCCTCCAAGTTGTGCAATGCGGATGTCTGGATAAGTCTGTGAGGATTTGGATTTTGTGTGTCTTTTCAGTTAATTGAGTCTCTGTGTTGTCCTTTCTACCCCTTGGTTTTCCCCAGCTGTCCCTCGTTTTCCTTGATTACCTTCCCTGTGTATTTAAACCCACTCGTGTCTCTAGCTCCTTGTCGGATCCCAGTCGTGTCGTGTCTCATGTCATTATCTCTAGCTGGGTTACCAGTTGCTACCAGTGTCTGAGCTCCTTGTCTCTGCCCACCTGTGCTGCCTGGATTTTTTTTTTTGTTTTTTTTTGTACAATTCGTCATTACACCATCATTTACTCTTCATACCTGGGTCTCACCACCTACAACTACCATTTCTTGGCAGCAGGATCCGACCAAAAGCAACTATGGTGAGGTTGGGGATAAAGAAAATTTATTTTGGAGCCTCCACAGTTTGACCATTCAGACAATTTTACGCTAGCATAAGGTTACATTTACACGAGTCTGCTGTCTAGAAACTGCCACTGCTTTTGTTTGCTCCCAAAAAACCTTGAATCTGCTGTAGTTATGCCAGGTCACTATATGGCGCTGTAATTTTTAGCATGTTAGTTTTTTTTTTAAGTTTTTTTATCATAGTTTCCAGCTCATTTAGAAACCAGCAACCCACCTCTGTCTCCCATGAACTTGATATTGTGTTAAACTGAACAACTTAAGTAGCACACAGAGCATAATATCATCTGCCTTTTTTTTTTTGGTTGTTGTTGCTGTGCTTGTGCCTGCGTAGAACAAACACTGCAGCCAGCTTCGGAGGAGACAACCGAGTCTTCACCTCATCAATTATCTCCCAGAAGGAAGGTGAAGCAACGAGGAGTGGAGGAAATATGAGAACAGGAAGCAGGGTTGAGGATGAGGAGATGAGGTGGGATGAGGAGATGTCCAGGTGAGGTCAAGAGAGGTTGCGGGTCCAAAGTACGTGACTGAAAATGTCCCAGTTTCTCTCTGTAAAGGGTCTACCGAAGACAAGCAGTCGACTTGAGGGGTCATGTGGTTGAGGGACGTTCATTTTGGCGCACGCTCTTCAAGGACCACCGATCAAACTGAGCCAAGATTCTCTGAAACCCTCCTGTAGCTGCATTGTGTTTCGTCATATCAGTCAAACAATCAGTCGAGTTTATTTGTATCGCACGTTTCTGCAAGCAGACAGTTTAAAGTGCGTTACGTCATAAAAACGCAACAAAAATTTTTTTTGTGGTCTTCAACAATACTGTAAACACAAAGATCATGGCAGAGAGGAACCAGTTCAAAGAAAGAGGAAATGACCATTAATGAGCTGGAATATCTCTATTTTATTTTTCCCTGTTGTCAGAAGCCAAAACAAGCAAACAAAAAAGAACAGAAAGTGCTCACTGTGTGCATCCTCCTGGCCTCAGGAGCCGGGAGGATGCCTCTGAGGTTTCAGAAGAATTTCCACCCAATTGGTTCACCTAAAGAAATGTTAACTTGATAAAAATCTAATTAATAACCAATTATTAATTATAATTATTGATAATTACAAAAGACACACATTGATGCGAATTTTGATTTCTTACACCATAGACAACGATGTCAAAG